CTCACAGACTGGCTCATTGCATATTTGACAGTTGCTGATACCTTTTTCCTTCTAGCTAGTTTTACACATCTACAATAATCAAGGTTTAACTTTACCTCTTCACTTTTAAAAAAAATAACTGATGTTTGTAAGGAAGTTGCTCACCCTTTCCAGCTTTTCTCTGTTTTGCAGGTAGATGTATTCAGAGTAGCCATGCTGCTGGATTGCACTGTAACTGCTGGTTTTCAGTTGGGACACATAGGGCAGAGGTGTTGGGGGAGCCTCGTCTTGCTCCCTTGACCTTGGATCATCTGACAGCTCCATTGATGACCTGTGTTCTGCTGCTGTCTGCTGGGGTGCAGAGATGCTCTGAAGTACACACACACACATACATACACACACACACACACAGTTAAGCACACACACAGAGATGCTGCCACTCCTGTCCTCCTTTTTTTTCTTTCCAATCTATCTTTCAGAAGCTGAATCAGCCACTTTTACTCTCTGTGGTGCCTGAGCTACAGTTTGTTCCCTGACTCGTACCAGTGTCTCTTCACTCTCCCCAGCAATTGGGCAGGGTGTGTCTTTGTGTGTGTCTGTATGCGCATGTAGTACAGTCTCCCAGGCATAATGGGAGGGGCAGAATGGGCTTGTGAACAGGGCGGAGGTGCAATTTGAGCAGCTGCATGGATGTACTGAACAAGACAGAAAGCATCAGAAAGAGATTAATCTGATTGGGAAAAGTGTGAGTACGCTGTGAGACATGAAGACACGTACACATTCTCTTTCACACACACACACAATTGTAGGAAATTGAATTTCTGCCATTTGGACTTCACATGCGGATACTGATACTGACAGAGACAGAATGTCCTGAAGTACTCTAACTTCACCTTAAGAAACCTTTTATACAGGACCATATGCCAGCGGAGCACACACCACACACACAAAGATTTTTATAGCCGCGACAGTTTATGTTGTGAATACAAAAAGGCTGCTGGTGTAAGAAAAACTGACTTTGCCCCGACCTACTTCACAACACAAGTAGCCCTGTGACCACTGTGTTCATACCACAGTGATATTTACATTATTTATCTCCTCATAGATTAAAGATTGATGGCTGAAATTATTTTAAACAATAGAATTTTGGAAATGCATTGAATGTGTTGTTTTACAAACTGATGATTTTTAACATTAATGTAATGATTATATTGTTAGCAGCCAGTTACTTTATGTTAGCATAAATACTAAAGCCAGGATGAACCTAGCATGTAGGCAATCAATTCAGAGTAGCATTGTTTTGGTATTTTCTGACACATTGTACTTGAGTATATTTGATCCAAAAGTCCAGAAAATTTGGAAAGTGTGGAAAATGTGCACCAGTGAGGTCACATTAAATAAGCTGTTTCCTAAGTCTTTAGGAGGTGGCTTACATGATGTCATGCTAACATTTGGAGGCTGCATTCTGAAGTGGAGCATTTTGGCCATTAGTGTTAATGTCTGGTTAACCAGAAGCCAGGGCAAGCACAGAGCATCATTCTTGTTACCGTTCTTCAATAGAGATTATAATATAGAATTCCTTTTCCTCCCAATTAAAAAGCCATATGATAATCAATGACCATTACATTCACATTTTATTGACAATAATCTAAATGATCTCTCTGAGCACGGTTTCTGCCATCTGTACCACCCTATAGTTGATTTGAACACCCAGTTTGCTGACAAAGCTTCTCCTGTTGTTCTCCTCTCCTATGCAGTTCCACACTGATGAACATTCATCAGTGTGGAACTGCAGAATATGTAAATTACACAAGTAGCCCAAACAGTCACATTGTAGCATCATACACCTTACTCACACTGAGGTTACAGGATTACTATTGCTGTAATACTACTATTGCAAGTTAAACTGAATAATGTGTAGCATGTAAGCTGTGCATGACCTAACACATAATTTCACATAATTATATATGTTTAAACAATTACTTTTGAAAACTTTCTTTTTTTTTACAAACTACCAAACAGATACCTCAGAGCTGACATGACTGCAGTGTTATGAAAACTTTATTTATATGCAATAAATGCAGTGTGAGGGTGGTAAAGCCCATAGTGAACCTGAACTTAATGAAACTAAATTGGACAGTCTCGGTCGTTGTGTCCTTGGGCAAGACACTTCACCCGTTGCCTACTGGTGGTGGTCAGAGGGCCCGGTGGCGCCAGTGTCCGGCAGCCTCGCCTCTGTCAGTGCGCCCCAGGGTGGCTGTGGTTACAATGTAGCTTGCCATCACCAGTGTCTGAATGTGTGTGTGAATGGGTGGATGACAGGTTGTGTAAAGCGCTTTGGGGTCCTTAGGGACTAGAAAAGCGCTATACAAATACAGGCCATTTTTAAGTGGGAGCAGTTTATCCAAACTTAGCACTTCCAGTAGATGAGCACCTGCACAATCCCTGATGTGCACCAGCAGTTGTGGTGAAAGTTGTTCACAGGGGAGAAAAACCCTGACACAGCTTTAAAGGATTAAGGAAGTGGAGCAGAATATCTGAAGACACACAATTAGTAGTGCGGTAACTCTGGCAGTGTGGCCTCTAAAACCTAATTTGTCGTGTGTACTTTCTTCTGCAAAGAGTTGGAGTGAAGCCAGACTGGGAGGTGGATTGGGCAGATTGTGGTGGAAGGATGGCAGTTCAAAAGAGATTGTGAGGTGATGAAGGGCAAGAAGTGGAAACTTAAATGTAATGTAATTAATTAGTATTACTAAAGTTAGACAAATAAGTTTAATAACACATTATTAATCATTACCAGTTACATTTTTAGTGGAGGATGAGGGAGTTTTAAATACTTTTTAATTCAACCAAATATAGAAATATTATTGTTATAAGCAATGCGGTTGAACTCAACCAGCCTTTTGTCCCCCTGAGAGTGGAGGCAGTTAAAAAATCCATCCATCGGGCCGTTTTCTTCTGCTTGTGCAACTGGCCCAGAGCCTATCCCAGCTCAGAGCCACTGAGTAAGCCGTGGAAAACAGCTCATGATTATCATGCATTTTATTGAAAATGAGCAAAACACTGATATTGCAAGGTTGACATTTAAACCTAACATCAATACAAAAAAAAGCTCATACAAAACATCCAAACAAAAAAATCTCCAAATGCTCAAACAAAAGGAAAGATAAAGTATGCCGAGCACAAAATGCAATTATTCATCTTTATTAAAGTTGTTTTGGCTAAAATGTTATTCAACAGTTCTGATCAGGATACATTCATATGTAAACATTGGTATGAGGCAAGACATTGGAAAACCTACCCAGTCATTACACTGTGGATCATTCAACAACAAAAAGCAGGACTTGGAGGTAGTCCCTGTCTATGCTGGTTCAAACACATTTAACTTGCAATTAGAAAGTAGTTTGATAAACCGTTCATCTCATCACGGTCAAAGACATAAACATGATAAAGGAGTAGCATTAGGGTGCATGACATCCTGGTCCCTCAGAGAATAGAAACATATATTGGCTTTGAAATGCAAAAACAAAAAGACTTCTACCTCCTTTTCGCCATCTTCCTTACATTGCACTCTCTAGTATCTAGGATTGTAATGATTGTTTGAGCCAGGGCACTTGTGACAAAATGCATTTGGAAGAGGAAAATCCTATTCTGGGAGCTACATTTCAGTTCACAATTTTCATTAACACATCGGGTTTATCTTTGATAAACTGTCTTCAAATGACATCAGCACAGGAAAAGGGGCATGGATGTAAGTTTTAAACTTAACTACTTTATAATAAAACACTGGTACATAATAATATAGGCACCCAGTTCTTTTCCCAAAAATAGGCACTGTGGCCGTTTCTCATGGAAAATCATTACTGAGGCTACCTTAGGCATTGGTATTGCAAACAGGACAAAAATATATAATTTGTAGGGGTGCAACAATACATGTATCGATATTGAACCGTTCGATACAGTGCTTTCGGTTTGGTACGCATATGTATCGAACAATACAAAATTTTTTATTTAATATATCAACTTTTCTTCTGACGATGGTGTCTGTGTTGAGCGCTCAGTGGATCTGCGTTCGACTACTCCGCCTAGGCTGCACTGTCGAGTGCAGATCCACTGAGCGCAGCGCAAGCTAGCAAGACAGAAGCTAATCTTATTGCAACATGGCAACTGCCTCAATGCTACCCGAAATTGAACCTCCCCCACCCTCATTCAGATCTGGCCTTTGGAACTTTTTTTGGTTTTTCATGACCCTGATGGTAAGTGTGTCATGGACAAAAGTAAAACAGTTTGTCGGATGTGCCACGCAATGCTCAAT